AGTCCCCGAGGCTCAATGGGATTAACTTGTACAAATAAAGGTTGAATGTATTTCTTACTTAATGGATTATTTTAGCAGTCTTTATGGGATTGCATTGAGTAGGTTTAAAGTTTCCTCAGTGAGCTGCAGAGCTGACCACATAAAGCTGCTGCATCCACTTTTCACTCAAAATAAAAATTTCCCCTCTTTGTTCTTGTTTTGTTTGTCACAGTCTAAATTTAGTGTGATGAGCTCGTCTGGGTAGGCAAAGTTGTGCTGAGCGGGACAAATCGATGCTTCTTTACTTGCAGCCCAGTAGGAACTGCAAGCTGTTCTGCTTGCAACAACAACTCGAGCGATCTACTGTCCCACTGCTCCACTGGACCTTTCTGGCAACAAGTGGATGTTTGTAATGTTGCGTCTGTGGTGTCATAGATGGCGTGTAAAAGTAAAGCTATGTGTTGAGGAGTGGGTTTAGACCACAGGAATGGAAACCTACTTTCTCTGACATTTATTCATTACATCACTGCAAACGGCTCTAGATAACAATCCGAGTTTTTTCAACAGATTTAAATAGTTTAAATCTGTTGGAGGAATAAAACCACTGTCAATGCTAAAACAGATGTTTGGAACTGTTCCTATTTTGACTCTGATCCAGTGAACACTTCAGAAATGTTTGCTTCATCGTTTCTTTTTTAACAGGACTTTTTAAACATTTAAGGACTCTTGAGAAAGAAATGTTTGTACCAAATTTTCAGCCTATAAGTCCAATTTTTTGCATAATTTGCATTATCTACAACTTATACGTCGACGTGACGTATTTATGGATTTTTCCAATATTTAAACCAATTTTTGTCTGAGATATGACCGTTTTCATTCAGTCTGACTTAAAATATTGAACACTACCATTTTCAGCCACTAGATGGTACTCGAGGTGTATGGCATGCCATTGTGTCATGTAATAGGAAAAAAAGCGGCTATTAATGACAGGCGGCTTGCCATAACCTACCACCTTCATCCAGCTCGCCTTGAGCAACCCTCAAACCAGCTTCATTTTGCTGCGCCGCCACGGCGAAATGCAGCTGATTTGACCATCAAAGTGAATTTATTAAGCACAAGTTAACCTGAGACACACCTTTACTATAACTTTGAGCAAACAAATAATTGATTTTAAGTGTTAATCTTGTTAAATTCTTGTTAAAGTCCTCCCGTGCACGCTCCCGCAGCCGCCGTTTGGCAGCCAATCGATTTTTGGCACAACACCGGCCCACGTTTCTGGGTTGTCAGCGGTGACTCGTAACAAACAGAACGCGTCAGCAGTGATGCATGATAGATGCGACTTATATGGCGAAGCAGCGTATTTATGGCATTTTCCACTTTATTAGACATATTTGGACTGATGCAACTTATAGGACGGTGCAACGTTTACAGCGGAGAATACGGTAGTTTGTTAATATGGTAAATGTTTCATGGTCTGGGCTCCAGGTAGGTCAGTGTAGCTCTTAGGATATTTTACTGTAAATGCATTCTGCTGGAATATGTGCTAAATGTCTTTTTGCAATGTCGTGCTGAAATAAGCTACATTTTCTAAAATCTTGATTGACTGCATGGCTTTATACGGGCGGATTGTTTTGACAATGCTGTAATCCTCATTCTAGTTTGAATACAAAAGTCTAGTAAGAGTATCAATCTATTTTTTTTTAACAAACATTATATCTTGGCTTTAGTGTTTTATTTTGTGGTGTTTGTGAAGTTTTAAAACGTCACAAACTCCTGCCGTGATTTTCAAAGCAAAAACAAGTTTATTTAACTACAGATCTGCCTGAAGGACTGAAAAAGTTTTTAATGAACATTAGCTTTCAGATAGTTACACATGAACAGAATCTTTCAGTTTCATAGCTGATAAAGTTCTGATTTTATTTGAATCTTGTTAATTATTGCCTGACGGCGATAATGTTTTTGCCCTCGTCTCAGTGTATATGTGTGTGTTTCTTTTAACAAAACATCTCATGAGTCTCTGATGGACGGTCATCTACAACAAACACTCCATGATTAGTCACTAAATTGTCTCGAGGTGTGAGTGAGAGAGCGAATGGTTGTTTGTCTCGTGTGTCTCTATGTGTCTCTGTGATGGACTGGAGACCTGTCCAGGGTGTCCCCCGCCTCTCGCACAGTGCTTGATGGACATTAAGCGGATGAAGATAATGGATGGATGGACTCCATGACAGATCATAGAAAATATCCATGGAGATTGCACATACCGTTCCTTTCAAGGTTTGACCAAAACTATTTGTCTATGATTTCTTAACTTAAAGATGTTCTGAGTAAAAACTCAAGTATGAACGGTGGTGGGCGATATGCAAAGTATGTTCAGCCTTTATTTGCCAGCTCAGTGCTGTAATGAGTTTCTTTCTCTTTACTTTGGAAAGATTAGGACTTTACTCACCTTGCCTTGCTTCAAATCACAATTAAAGCATGTATCTACTGGTACTTTTTCTATGAAAACAACAGCATGACTTTACCAGTCAGTAAATTGTTACGATTTTACAGTGTGTAGGGGCTTTAGTGATTTTTAAACCGATGCATTCTGTTGTATTTACATTTTAGACAGGAACCCAACTTAACTGCTGATCAGGCCTTTCAGTGTAAAATATAAACTGCTGATTAATCTAAATCCTTTCATTTGTCTTGGCTCACAAGCAGAGGAAGATTGCAACAGATAAACCCTAAACAACAAAATATATTACGTTTTAATTTTGTTCATTTCCTTCATGCAAAAAAAACATAACAACTAAAGTTATAATGCTTGGAACCAAAATGGTTTAGACTTGTTCCTGATCAATAAACTGTGCTACCTGGACTATTTTCTTGCTTAAATATTTATTTAGATCCATAAAAGTAACAAATCTTTACATGTTCTGCAAGGAGGTGATGTTTGTGGTCATATGTAAATTGTTCTGATGGTTCTTTAAACACTAAACATGCCTCTGACTCGATGATGCAGAGGCACAAACAAACCTTTAGGCGCTCCGTCCGACTGATTAATGATGGATAGTTGAATATCTGGAGGAGTTAATCGTTCGACTGCTTCAAGAGGCAAATTCTGTCCCTGTCCTTTTTCACAGCAAGTGCCCTCATTAGTCAGAGCTGATGAGTTTGGCAAATAGACTCTTAGCCAGACAGTCTCTGTCCACAGCATTTCATGTATTATTTCTGTAACTGTAACAGCCTCAAAGTGCTGGGTTTCAGATTTTTATTATTCCTTGTTGGCTTTCACTGATTTTAAATTTCTGCCAGATAACATCACAGATATCTGCATGACAAACCACATTTATGTAGGGGATCAAATAATGCAGAGCAGCAAACTGAGCAGTGATACTGCTGCACAGAAGTAATGCTGCTCCTTAGGTAGTGGAATAGTAAGCCGAAGTGACGACTCAGAGCATCAGGAATGACGAGGTGCGAAGTGTCTGACTGCACAAAACACGCTGCACTCTCACATTATGTATATACATGTTAAAAAACGTTAAAAATATCAGAACTCTTCAGAGATTTGCATATTAGAAAGCATCAAATTCAGTCAACCGAAGAACGAAAAAGAAAAAGGAAATGCATTTTCTGCAAAAAAATGCATTGAGAATGCTGAATGACTCAGATTTGCTGAATAATGTCAAACTGAGTTGTTAAAGTAAAACGAGCAGAACAGAAGCTAAAAGGAGCAGAGCCTTAGCTTAAAGGAGCTAACCAACAGGCGAAAGCTAAAATGAACAAAACATATAAGGAATAAAATGCTAACTGAATGTAGCAATATGCTAACTAAGAGTAGTTAAGATGCAGACATGAACCTGAGGACTTAATTTTATTGAGCAACCTGCAATGTGTTATCCAAAATATTATTAATAATAATAATAATAATAAATAACAGATGTTTACCAGAAGCTTTAGAGAGAATGGCAAACAGGATGACAAGATTCCGTAGAGAACATTTCTTTCCTTCTGAAAACACCTGTCACAACAATAGATGCTAACTGTCCTTCAGAGTGTTTTAATAATACTTTCACTTTGCTTAATGAGCTTCTTCACTCAGAAGCAGGTCGGTGGCTCTTTCAGCTGATGGTACTCCCCACTACAAACACCAGCAGCTCGTTAGCTTTTCTGTTCAGGTGTTCAGCGGCCAAGCTTCAAGTCACTTCGATCAAATTAAATTCATTTGACAAAAGAATTGCCTCAGGGGGAGGAGTTTAAGTATCTAGGTGTCTTGTTCATGAGGGATGGTAGGAGATGGATTGTTGCATTGGGGGTTTTTGTCTTCAGTAATGAGGGTGTTGCTTCGGTTGATTGTGGTGAAGGAAGCATTGCGTTGAAAGGCAACGCTCTGGATTTACCTGTCTATGTTCCAACCTTCACCCATGGTCATGATGATCGTGACCGAAAGAGATCCTGGATACAAGTGGCTGAAATGAGCGTCCTTTGTTGGTCGTGTGGGCTCAGCCTTATGGAAACGGGCGAGGAGCTCCGTCATCCAGGAGCAGCTCAGAGTACAGCTGCTGCTCCTTTGCATCAAAAGGAGTCAGCTGATGTGTTAGGATGCCTCCTGGATGCCTTTTCTTGGAGGTTTTCCAAGCATGTCCCACTGGGAAGAGACCTCAGGGTACACCCAGAACTCGTTGGAGGAATTACTGTACATCTCCTCTCTGGCCTGTGAACCCCTTGGGATCCAGGAACATCTGGACAGTTTCACTGGGGAGAGGGAGGTCGTTTCTCTCGCAGACGTGACCGAACATGAGTAAGCAGTAAAGAATGGATAGATGGATGGGAATGTTTAAAGTTTTGGTAAACTGACAAGTGTTTTGACAAGTTTGATGCTGCGTGCTGGGCATCAAGTGTCTTTTGACTAACTGTTATAGTAAACGGCAATAAAGTCCCTTTTTCCTGACATCACATGAGCTGTATGTGCATTTTTGTTGTAAATAAAGAGCTTTGCTTTATATCCTGTAAAACCTTCCTCTCATCTCTTCCAGCTTCTTCTTGGTCTTCTCCTGCCTTATACTGTCAGTCTTTGCTACCATCAAAGAGCACAAAGACAAGTCAGAGAATGCCTTGTACATCTTGGTACGTATCACGTTGTGCGTTTTAACCGTCTGCTGCAGGAGTCTTCAAAGTCTGAGCTTGTAGGCTACCACTCAAACAAATCCTGTTAAAAGCTGACATACACATACCTCAGCCACCCCCCCCCCCCCCCCCACCTCCAGTTATAGAATGATGATTGTTATTTGATGCCATAGACTCGCAGCAAGAAGGCAAGCCAATGCTGCCCAATAAAGCTGATTAAAGTATATCTGACCACAAAAAAAGAAATATTTAACAAAAATGGTGCAAGACCATTTGCTGAATTAGTTTCTTAGCCTGGGGAAAGGAGTAATGCAGCTGCATGTATTTCTTCTACTAAATCTCAGACATTAAGGCTATTTCACAAACTATTCTCTTTAAAAATAAAAACCCTCCCCCATGACTATCTCTAGATCTATCCTAAAACTTAAAAAAAACGTCCCTCAGGAAGCCTTTGGAAAATGTCTGCTCTACAAAAGGTAAATCAGCTTGCATGCTTTGATTTGTTCTGCAGGAAATTGTGACAATCGTCGTGTTCGGAGTGGAGTACATCGTGCGTATATGGGCTGCTGGTTGTTGCTGTCGATACAGAGGATGGAGGGGGAGGCTAAAATTTGCCAGAAAGCCTTTCTGTGTCATAGGTGAGAAAACACGTATGGGTCATGTTTCGTTCCCTGTTATTTCTTTTAACCCTGTTTTTCTGGGAGAAGTTCACACAAAAACATTATTTCCCTCCTTTTTTGAAAAGTATGGAAACTCATTTACGTCACTCCATAGAGGGAAAAACAAGACCTTCCGAGTCACAGTTATGAAATATTATCTTGGAATATGACAAATATTAAGAGATACTATCGCAAAATAATGACTTCTGCTGTTGAGGTCAACGATTGTAACGGATTATCCAGATAATTCTGATTTAGCATCTTTATAATCTCACAGTTGTGCAATGCTATCACTAAAAAAATCTCTAAAACGTCTCTTACTTCTCTAAATTATAACTTATCATCTCATTATGATGGGAAAAAAAAGGGCTTTTGAGATGCTTAGTCTTGATTTTAAAATGCTAAGTTGTAAAAAGGAGATGCTAAGTAATTATTTTGACATACTGTCTTAATTACAGCATACTATCTTGTAATTATTTGATGCTAATAGTCATTTTGGATAGTATCTCATGAACGTCAATTAGAATTTAATTTTAAAACGCAAGTGGTGCAATTTGGCTTCCATAGAAACCTTCAATTGTACAATAGCACATTTTGAGACTGACATATATTACTTCAGGCAATCTTTACTTAAAAAAACAATTCATGATGCTCAAAGTAAAATTTAGTTAATTTTATAGGATTTGGGAAAAAAAAATATCTCCAGCTTTTTATGTGCTTGTTTGTGCTGTCTATGTTTACAGACATTATGGTGCTGATTGCGTCAGTGTCTGTACTGGCAGCAGGATCTCAGGGGAATGTTTTTGCCACTTCGGCCATCAGAAGTTTGAGGTTCCTGCAGATCCTGCGCATGCTGCGTATGGACCGCCGCGGAGGAACCTGGAAGCTGCTGGGATCTGTGGTTTACGCCCACAGCAAGGTGATCCTTCACATTTATTCCACTTTGACTGGTCACTTCTCAGCAGAGGTGGAAAGAGTACTGAACCTTTCAAGTACAAGTAATGGTACACTGCTTAAATTGTACTCAGTTACAAGTAAAAGTGCTGGTGTTATAAAAATACTTAAGTAAAAGTACAAAGTACTCTTCTCAAAAACTACTCAGAGTATTATCCTGATGCATGCTCAATAATCCAGGTAGAAAAAGCTAAAAAAGTTAAGTCAGGTCCTTTGGACTGAAGAAGTCTTTTGGATGAAAGACAAAACATTTCTACTTTATAAAATTTTTAATTTTATTTTATTTTGTTTGTTTGTTTTTCGAACGTCCAGAGGACCTGACTTAACATTTTTTGTATTTTCTACCTGGATTTTTGAGCATGCATTAGGATATTTTGAACCACTTTGGCCAGGATTGCCTCAAATTAATCAGACTGAAGAAGTCTTTCGGATGAAAGACGAAACATTTCTAAAAGTTAAAAATTATTATTATTTTTTTTGTTGTTTGTTTGTTTTTTGAACGTCCAAAGAATCTGACTTAACTTTTTTTAGTTATTCAGAGTATTAATTACTTTTTAACCACTTGATGTTTTATTGTGTTGTCAATGTAAGTCATTCAGTTTGATTTGATAATAACAGCGAGATTCAAAGCTCATTCCCCAGACTCTCAGCAGTTCCGTTTTATTTTAGTACCAGGCAAACCGATGGCAGTGACAATATCTAATATCTTTGCACACTTAGTCAAAGCTGTAAAACCTCGTATACTGCAATATGAGATTACATGCTGAAGTCTTGTAAGCTGCAATCACCGTACGGATCAAACAAAGTTTGCATCTGGACTCTGTCTCCTTTTCACCCTCTGTACATGAAACATTCCTCCAGGTACGACCACGGGCGCTCGTCCTCAGCCTTTACCTCGTCATTTTCTCTGTTGACAGTGTTGTCCTCTGTCTCCATTTTGGCTTTTTCTCCAGCTCTTCGGTCCATGAATGACTCTCCACTCTACGGAGTTGTCCTTTGCTTACGTTATAGGTACAAAGATGCAGCTGAACAGTTTGAATATTAATTCAAACTGCGGCCGTACTCAGTAGCGACTTCTGATTTTAAAAGTAGCGAAGTAGATTGCATGGTCTAAATTGTACTTAAGTATGAGTAAAGTTACACACTTGAAAGATATACTCATAAAAGTACAAGTACCTCAAAAATCTACTTAATTACAGTAATGTATTTGTAATTCGTTACTTCCACCCCTGCTTCTCAGTTTATTCGTTAGAGGTTTGATCAGAGAGTCATTAGATCAAAAGTTATGACGTGTGCCAAAACCAAATGAATGATTAGATCTTCTTTCGCCACATCACTGAGATTTTATTTGGCCGGCATCAAGCGAGGAAATGATCACTGAGACAATCCACACAAGCTTGAACTGATTCCAGTATTATGCAACAAAGACAGTTTAGATTAAGTAACTCCAAATGATGAAGTGGGACCAAAGCTGTCGAACTGGTTACTGACATTCCTACACGCGCTTTATGTTAAAACCTCTGCAGTCGTACTGAATGTATTTATTGTAACACATTAATTCTGCCACGAAGAGGAAACTTTTCCTTCTGTTTTAATTTAACGAGCTTCAAAATGAGATCATGTGCTTGAACTAATGAACCGTTGGAAAAATTCATTGTGTTTGCATGTATGTGATTTTACAGGGAGGGACAGGAAGTCTGTAGCATGTTTGGAGCTGAGGGAAATCAAGAAGTTTATCAAACACCACACAGAGCATGGGGCTCACATGCTGATGTCCAATATTATTATGGGATGGTTGTTTTTACAAGTCAACGGAGGCTGTATTGCTGTCTCTGCGAGGTAGCCTTGACAGCCCTTATTACTTTGGATTCCCTGGTGCTCACTGTATTGTTTTCCCCTGCAGGAGCTCATCACAGCCTGGTATATTGGCTTTCTGTGCCTCATCTTGGCTTCTTTCTTGGTCTATTCTGTGGAAAAGGAGTCAAATGAAGAATTTGAGACTTATGCTGATGCTCTTTGGTGGGGACTGGTAAGATCTAAAAACCAAACAGAGATCTGCTGCATTTTCTTGACATGCTAAAGTTTTGTGACGTGTTTTACTCCCTGTAGTCCTCCACTGTTTACTATATCATAGATGGGATATACAGTATTTGCACCACTGCAGCCAAATAAAAAAAAATTACAAATGTTTTTTACTTCTTTCACCAGATCACTCTCACCACCATCGGTTATGGTGATAAAGTTCCCAAAACCTGGAATGGACGCATGCTCGGAGCTGCGTTTAGTATGATTGGCGTGGCTTTCTTTGCACTTCCTGCTGTGAGTGTCTGGGATTGTTAGGAGTCATTTAAACTGTGTGCAGTTAAAATGGCTTTCAAAGTGCTGAGGAAGATGATCGTTAAGTGCTAAGCATCAATAATAATTGATTATATTCTATATGTGTTTATATGGCAACTGTTCATACATTTCTATCAAGAGCATTTCCCCAGAACTTTCTTCTTCTTTATAAGTTTCATTCAGATTTGTTCACTGGTTCATGAGATATTTACTCTCTCTCACATGCACACACACATGCACACACAAATATGGGAAAGATCATTATTGCTTGACTTTTGTTGTTTTCGCCACAGATGATAATTAAATATGTTGGACGTCTAAATCAAAAGAATTTGGACTAAAATGAGCCCGAACTTTTCTGTCCCAGCTTTCGAGGGTCAGTGTTCTAAATGCCTATCACATTTCCTACAAATGTAAAAGTTTGAAGGAAACGGATTAATATTTAAGAGTTTTGTCGAAATGCACATGATTTTAGGATAGAAACGTACAGCGGTGCTTGAAAGTTTGTGAAGCCTTTAGAATGTTCTATATTTCTGCATAAACATGACCCAAAACATCGTCAGATTTTCACACAAGTCCTAAAAGTAGATAAAGAGAACCCAGTTAAACAAATGAAACAATTTTATTTTGCATTTTATTCATTGAAGAAAATTATCCAGTGTTACATATTTGTGAGTGGCGAAAGTATATGAATTTTTGCTTTCAGTATTTTCACAAACTTTCAAGCACCGCTGTAATATATAAAAAAAAATCATCACAAAACTGGCATTTTTTTTTAATACATTTTATTTAATGGCACATTTTGTTTTGTTTAATTAATACCATTTTCATTCATTTGTTCTTCTCAATTTGTATTCTTTTCATGACTGTCTACTGTTGTCATCACTCTTTGTTAAAATCAGGTCTCTCTTATAAATGAGTCTCCGAGGCTCAGTGGGATTAACCTGCATAAATAAAAGTTGAATGAATGAATTGTTATTTTTGAACTTGGCAGATGTTCATTCATTCATTCATTCATTCATTCAGATGTAAGTCCAGCCTGAAGTGACGACAAAGAGAAACTTTTTGGACTTGCTTATACAAGTGGAAAACATGGATCCAACAAACGAGTGGTCAAGTTGTTGTAAAATCATTAATATGATAAAACCATGTGTTGCTGGTGGCTGCAGTAATATTGTGATAACTGATGTGAGTGTGCGCTGCTTGCAGGCGTTCCTCTTTGTCGTCACCTCCATTACTGCTCGTGTACCACAACCGTTCATCTCAGCGTCGCGCTTCTTTTATGCAATACTTTATTCATGTTATCAAGGTTCATGCTCATTAATCTAGGTTAAAAAAAAATCCAACAATGTTCAGTCAGGTCATCTGGGCAGTTTCTTTTTTTTTTGTTGAGAGACGTTTCGCCCTCCATCTGAAGGGCTTCCTCAGTCTAAGGAGTCACAAACAAACTGTTTCCCCCAGTAAGCAGTACACGCAGTGGAGCAACCAGTTTGCTGGTGATAAGATGGATTCTGGGGGCCGTCCTCTCCCTCGTCGACTCCTCCCACTCAACACACCCAAAGTGGTTCAAGACATCAAGGTTCATGCTCAATAATCCAGGTTAAAAATCCAACAGTGTTCAGCCTCGCCAACTTTAAGCCCGCTAACAAAATTCACGAGCTTGTTCCTGTTTGTTGTGGGCGTGTCTCGAAGAGTCCGCTAGGCACGCTATTGGCTTACTACGTGTACAAGACGTGATTGGTCAACGCAGTTTCAACTGGAAAGAGACAAAGACGTGTGACGCAGACTGAGTAACATTCGTCTTGGCGGTTAGCTTTTAGCATTAGCTTCCACATAAAAAAATAAAAAAAATGTCCAGATGACCTCACTGAACTTTGTTGGATTTTTTAATCTGGATTATCGAGCATGAGCTTTGATGTCTTGAACTACTTTGGCTGTGTTGCCTGGGAGGAGTCGACTGGGGACAGGACAGCCCCCACAAACCATCTTATCACCAGCAAACTGGTTGGTCCACTGTAGGAGTGTATTGCTTAGTGGGGAAAACAGTTTGTGACTCCTAAGACTGATGAAGCCCTTCGGATGGAGGGTGAAACATCTCTCACCAAAAAAACCCCAAAACTGTTCAGATGACCTGACTGAACATTGTTGGATTATTCATGTTATCTTTACAATAATACATTCATATTTAACACAAACATTTTATGTCACAGACACTTCAAAAAACAGAACCACACTGACTATAAATGTTTTGATAATAAAAAATATATATCTACATTCTGTCTTTTGGAACTGCCAAATATTGTGTCACAAGTTCTAATTCACAGAAATATATTTCAAGAGAGTATTGTTGTGGTTAGGGAGACATTTTTGAACAATCATGCTTATTGTATCATATAGAAAAGCTGATGGCAGCTAATGCCATTCACAAGGACCTAACTGGTTCCCAGTGTGTATTATCTGTTCTTGTCCCAAAATAAACATGGACGTCCTTTTTACTTCATTCTTTTTTTGTTTTTAATTTAGGGCATTTTAGGTTCTGGCTTTGCCCTGAAGGTCCAGGAGCAGCACAGGCAGAAGCATTTTGAGAAGAGACGTAACCCTGCAGCCGGCCTCATCCAGGTATCTGCCTGAGAACAACTGAATCAAACATCTTTATAGAAACAGCAAAATATGATTTGTGCTCATGAAAAAGTGTTTTCCCCTCCAGGCTGCGTGGAGGTTTTATGCCACCAACCTTTCTCGTACAGACCTGCTGAGCACTTGGGATTTTTATGAGCAGACGGTGGCGGTTCCAATGTACAGGTAACTGAGTTTCAGGAAACGTCTGTTTTCCAATATCACATTTATATTATATTTTTGAGAAACTTGGAAGAAAAATGAAACCCACCATTTTACTTTGGTATTTTATAGTTTTTGCTGTTGTTGTTGAATCATCTGCAGCTTTCTGTGAGTTATCATGCACCGAGTTTGAAGGTCCACACTTGGCCAATTCGAAGAATTAGCCGCTTGTGCCATTCAGCGATAAAAGACGATCATCTTAACTTTTACAAAACACATTTACACCTGAAACCGATTTTCAAGAACTTGAACATGTCTGCTTGGAAACTGTTCACGTCTCGTTTCACTCCAGATGTGATTTGAGGTGAAAAGTTGAAGGCCGTCAGAACGGATCACTGCCAAACCAGATGAGATTAGCTTTAAAGGAGCCGAAGGCTTCGACCTTTCAGGTTGATGGAACCATCTTGACCGAATAACGATTCTTTTCCCAGAATCATTCCACCTCTGAATCAGCTGGACCTGCTGAGGAACCTGAAGAGCAAGTCTTTCAGGTATGATGATGATGATGATGATGATGAGTGAGAATGTTATGATAAAGATTCAAAGGTGCAGATTTCTGTACAAAGTCGTCCAGGAAGAGAAAAGGCAGAAATCATATTGTAAAAATAAACATCAGCTCAAACAGATCAAACAAATGAAGGAGATTTGATAACAAATGAACACATGTCTATAATTCAGCGTCTGGTGTCACAAAACAAGTGGAAATGATAAAACAATTTGTTGTTTGGTTTGTTGAGTTCATATTAGACTAGAATAGTAAGTGAAGGCCTCAGCTGAACCCTACAGCATCTCTTAGATTAAAAAACAAAAGTGAAAAGTTAAAAGAAATTATATAATAGTATACAGTAATATAATAATATAATATTGAAATTTATTAGGCACATAAACCCAATAATAAATGAATGTTACCCACTGGTACATACTGTTAGGTTTATAACTGCTGACGAACTCAGGTGGTAATATTCGTATACACAGATAATATTTTTTCATCTTGTTCTTCATTTTCTTGTTCTTCTTGTTCTAACAAGCTCCACATGTTAATATTTTATTGTAAGACTATCCTGATCACCTTTTTTTACACTGATGTAACTTATTGTGTAAATAAAATTTAGTTAAAAATAACAAATCTACTTGTTGTTCTTCTTCGTGTTCTTCTTGTTGATGTTCTTCTTTTTGTTCTTGTTCTTTTTCCTCTTCTTCTTCTTCTTCTACAACTAATCTTCATCTTGTGATTCAAATGCTAAAAGATGTTGGTTAATTCATTCATTTTTGTCTCATTTGAACTTCTGTCTACTTTTGAATGCCTTAGTTGTTTTTCCTTCTTAGCGCAGAGAAGTCTCAACCAGAACAACTTGAACTGAAGCTGTTTAATCGTTGCCACCATCCTCTCATGCTAACCCACACCACGTAACACCTTCTGTCTCTGCTTCTTACAGGAAGGACTCGCAGGCAGAAACCTCTCCCAGGTCTGTGACTGATCCACATCTCTTCTCATCTTTCGTTGGCTTCTCTTCAATTTTGCTCTTAGCTGCTGCTTATAGGCACTCTTCTTGAGGGAGTGTGTGTGTGAGAGAAGGGGGGTTTGTGTTTTGCAGACATGCTCATGGCTAAGTGAAAAGTACCTCCTTCAAGAATGGTCATGATGCATTTGCTCACTTGCACAAAAACCAGCTCACTTTGGCCTCACTCCCAAACTGGCAGCTTTACTAAATATTCACTGGGTGACCAGATCCTTAGCAGCCAATTGTGTTTGTGTGTGTGTGTGTGTGTGTGTGTGTGTGTGTGTGTGGGTGGGGGTGTCATTGTGGGACATGTTACTAATGATGAAAGTTGTCCAAAAAAATCAACAGAATGACTGACTTTTTAATAAAACACACCTGATAGAATAAGCAGGTAAATGCTTCTGCTCCCAGTTTGTCTTTTGGTTGTTTTCTCTTTGTAGTTGTATTTTCTCTCTTTCTATGTTGGAGTTTCTATTATTTGTTATGAAATCTGCACATTGGAAGTTGCAGTTCAAAGCTACTTGTTTCAACTTTTAAATCCAGCTTCAAAAGGTCTATCCTTATATTTTGTTGCACTTTGGTTTCTGTTGTGCTCCGTGAGAGTTCGGCACCAGCCCACAGGTATTCTGGTCCACTCCTTGAGAGCAAACTGCTCCAGCTGTCTCAGGTTTGAAGGGTTCCTTCTCCAGACTGCATGTTCCAGCTCCTTCCACCTTATTTAGATCAGAACATTTCAGAACATCCCAATGTTTCTTGGGTGTTTTTTTTTTTTTAGCCATATGGGTCATTTTAGCCATTGGTTTTGGGTTTCTGGCACTGGACAGAAAATTCAGCTGCAGATTGCCTTGATAGTCTTGAGATTTCAGAGTACTTTGCACAGATTGGAGACACCTTAGAAGCAGCAAATGAGCCCCAGAACAGAACAGAACCTCCATGTTTCACTGTTGGTACCACGTTGCTTTCTTTGTATGTTTCCTTTTTGGGTACATAAACACAGAGCTCATGTTTTGTTGTTAAAAACGTCCAATTTGGTCTCATCTGTCCAAAAGGACATTTTCCTAGAAGGTTTTAGCCGTTTCAGCTGTTTCTGTAGATAAATAAATGCATATGGCAGCTGGTCACACATTTTGTTTTCAAATTTCTAATTTAATGACAATAATCATCAGTTGCAGGAAAAATATTGTTCAAATTTTGTTTTTATTTTAAATAAATTTTTTGAACGGCCTTCATGACTTTAAAATGAGCCATTTTGCTGACATTAAAAAGGGCTTTGTTGTGTCTTTTCTCATCTGCTGAAGCTAAAACAAGTCCTGTTGTCGCCAAAATGTGGGACATCTTTTCAAAATGTGCAACAAGGGCTAAACATGCTGCGCAGCGGGACGCCTGGTCACCCTGAATATTCACCAACAAGCTGTTCGCATCAAGAAAGTTTGTTTGGAACCGTGCTTGGTTTTTTACCACTGTTTTTGATGAAGAAAACATGTTTAACGGTTGACAATGCTTTAACACTTTATCACTAGTTTGTATAACTGTAATTATGCAAATTTGTTTGGAAAAATACTAAACAACAATTTGGGCAAACATGCTAAGAGCTTTATTATGAAAGACATCCAGCTATGACTGGACGGAAAAGCAGTTGATCTATAAAGTGTTACTGGCATCATTGAAATGGCACACACTTGTGTTTTTGTGATTTATCTTTTTGTGTCTCCTTTACTGCCCACCACTCCAGTAGTGAAAATGCACACAAAGACAGACTTTGTGGGTGCTGCCCGAGAACTATTAGGTATAGTTTTGCTGCACAGATACTAACGACTGCACTGCAAGTTTGTGTTTCTCTCCTTTCCTTCCTGTTTCCTTCCTGTTTTAAGCGCAGATACAAACAGAGTCATACAAAAGTTATATATTTTTATTTATTATTATTATTATTAACCTTTAGTTATCCAGGCAAATCCCATTAAATATTATATTTTTAAGCAAGCAACAAGATCTAACAAAATATTTTAATTAAAGGTCTCCTGCATGTCAGAGTTGAGCACATTGAAATTAACCTACGTGCACTCTCTTGCTATCTTGTGAAACGTCACACAGAGTGTGCGTTCTTAATGACTCTCAGCTACTACCACATCAAATTTTAGCTCAATATGTGTACAACTGAATGAGTTCAAACCATTTTTGTTTAATGTTGATGAGCTGTGGCAGCCATCTTGAACTGGTTTGGCTCCAAAAGCTAAACAGTTGTAGCTGAACATCTAATGATTACATTCTGAAAGTTTCATTTAAATCCATTCAGTTGTTTAGAAAATATTTTACTAACAGACATTCTGGGTTGACTCCAACAGCAAATGCTAAAGTTTTAAGCAAAGCTCTTTTGCAATGCATGTCACTTGTAGAATATGTTTTTAATGACTTTCAGCAACTACCACACCAGTTATTTTTAGCACAATTTTAGTGAAACTGACTGAATTAAAATTTAAAATGTAAAAATAAAAACAAAAAACTGTTGTCTTTTTAAGGTCTAGTGGCTCTGGTGGCCATCTTAAATTGGGCTGGCTCTAAAAGTTAATTTATTGCAGATTATTTACCAACAGTTACCTTAAAATCAATCCAGTGGTTCACAAGATAATTTGCTAACAGACAGACACAAAATGCACAATTTATCAGTGCACAGAATATATGTTGGGCACTACTCTCAGCTACTACCACACCAAATTATAGGTCATTATCTGTAAAACTGAATAAGTTTGAACCATTTTTGTGTTTGCTAAGGTAACCTAGCTTTGGTAGCCATCTTGAATCAAACTGATTAATCAGTTATAAATGTATATTCAGTGATTCATTTTAAGATTTCTGCTAGCAGACACACAAACACGTGCACATCCACACACACAGGCATGGGCACAAACAAATAACAATATGGATTAAATTCTGTCAGCAAAATGAACAAGTTTCATTCATTCTACCTTTATTTATACAGATAAATCACATCGAGCCTCAAAGACTCATTTACAAGGGAGATCTGTTTAGACAGACAAAAAACTAATAAAAGTGACAACATGTATAGGATTTGGAGGCAAAAAAAAATTCCTAACAGACTCTCATTCCTTGGCCGAGGAAAGATAGCCTGAAATTGAAAACAACACTGTGCACATAAGCACACAGTGACGCAGACATTCCACAGGAGAGAGGAGACGACAATCTTCTGTTGAGATCGTTTTAAATCGTTTTTTTTCTCCGGGAAGATCTTTGTTTAGGTCCCTGTCACATTTGTTTTATGATTTCTGTTTAGTAATGTTTTTATGCAATTAATTTGCTTGCAGCCTGTTTTTGCCCAGTCAGCCTTTGTACACTTCTGTTCAGCAGGAAAGGAGCATAACGCTGAGTACTTAATCCCGAGTATCTGTCAGAGCAAACGATGTGAGGGTGATTTTTTAGCATGATTTTTGTTTACTTGTTTCATTTTTTT